TGTTATATATATATTTATTGTAATTTAAGTGTGTATATGTGTGTGTTCAGCGTATAACGTACAATTATTTTTATGTATTGCTTACAGCAGGCTAGGTGTATACTATATCTTCCGTAGCTATGCATTTTACATTAATTCATATTACTATCCTATTATTGTAATTTTAACTACCATTGTGATTTTGTGTCAATCAATCACTTAATAAAAATATTTTATGTTTTTATCAGATTTATGGCAATTCATTCTTTGTCTAGTTAATAGACTTAAATCATAAAACATAGTTAATAGTTATTAGTTACCATTTCCAAATTACTTTTTACCAAATAAACTCATTCATAGTTACCTAACATTCTCTTATATTCATAACATTATCTTTATTAATATTATGATTAATATTTTTATAGTTATTTCTATCATCATAAAATTGTTTAGTATTAAGCGAATTAATTAGTGGACCTAATTTATATTGTGTTATTTATTATTTATATATATATATATATATATATATATATAATTACAATTAATATATTATCAGTGATATCATATAATAATTGAATCTAATATTAAATTATTAATTATTACCTGCTAGGCTTAAATCTAGTCAGGCGTAGTCGAACCCTCAGCTAGGCTTCTTAATGTATAGGTAGAAGAAAAAATATCACTAATATTCCTAAAATTTCATAATCCCCATCTACAGTTCACCAGTGATCTATTATTTTCCGCACTCATCCAAACAATTACAATGAAAATTGTATTTACTTATCTATATATTACTGAAAAAAAATAAGCTTCAACATCCATATTATGTTCATCGTTTTGAATACCACAAAATAAGATTTGATGGATTTATCTTACAATTAATTAAATATTTGAAAAAATAAAAATAAAAATACTAATCATTTTTATTAGGTAGTTTAGTATTCATCTATAGATTACTTAAAAATAGTAATGAAATAGACAGTTACTACCTTATTAATGTAAACAATTAATTTATTAAGATTATTATTAATATACTTATATTCAATGTACTTGATAAGATGATACAAGTAAATAAATGGTATACAAAATAAATAATTAAAAAATTTGCATTGAATATAAAGTATTAAGTATTGTAAATGTAATATGTAAATATATTTCACTTGTTCTTAAGTATTAAAACTATTATTATTAATTAATTTTAAATGCTTAAAAATAATCAGTTAAAAGAAAAACTCAAATTTTGTTTGTTTTAAAATATACATACCAATAAACGCTAATTTAAGAATTATGGTGTGAAAATTAGTCAATTTATATTATTTTTAGTTTAAAATCTATTCCTTAAAAATATTTTCCTTCCTTTTATTATAATCTACACAATTTTTTACGGTTTGTTAACACATATTTACACAAATTACTTAATATAAATTATATTAATATACATTATTGATCATTGCATTAGATGTTTGTTTAAAATTAAACTTTAATGGTATACCAATCGAATAAATATAACTGTAAAAAAAACTGATTTATACTTATTTTGAAGTACATTACTTCAGTCGATGTCTTAATCGGTATAAGTTTAACAATAAACCATATTTCATTATTTACTTATTAATTTTTAACAATCATTCTTGTGATTGTTGTATCGTGACTTATATTTTGTTTGCGGTGCATAAGGTATAAGCAGAACCAGATTAATCAAATTAGTAGCCCCGAGTTAATTTATTTCAGGGTACTAATTTTATAAAAAAAAAAGTATTTTTATAATAAGTCAATTGATATTTATTAGTTAAATACGAGAAATATTTTCCCTCAAAAAGCAAATTTAAATTAGATATATAATTAATTTATTAAAAACTTCAATTTAATTAAATGTTAAAATATATAATATATTGTAATAATACAGAAATAAAAACCATTTTTTCTAATTTTACTTAATGTAAAAGTATCTAAGGTATCGTAAAATGAAGGTTTTTACATAATTTATTTTCAATTTACATAATTTTAATTTGTACAACCTATCTTCAATCTGTGTAGATCTTAGTCGATTTTTAATTAGAGTCAACTTTGAAAATGAACGTTCTGCTTCAAAATTTGTCAACGATACTGGTATGATCTCGATGCAATATATATATATATATATTTAAAAAAATATCAATAAGATTTCGTTCATAAAAAAGTTTTGCTTTATCACTACAATTTTCAATATCTAAAGAAACTTTTTTCATATAAACATCGAGATCGTTATGGTAAAAATGAATATAGTTATTTAACGAATTAATGTTTGGTTCATTTTCAGTTTTAAAGTTAACTAAAAATTTGAATTGAGAAAGAAAAATATTATAAGATTTTAATCTTCTCTCAAGATCATAAATCAGTTTATCTATAATAACAAAGACAGTATCGACTTCAAACTTTTTTTTTCACTTAAAATCTTTGTTTTCTTTTACCAATGTCTCCGTAGTTGGCTATAATTGTTGTACTTACAGTTTGAGTCAAATAATCATACTTTTCATAGAAATTTGTGTCGTGAAATATAAATTGTCGTAAATAATGAATCAGGTTACAAACAGACAATAAATCTAACCTAGGTTTTTGTAACTTTTCACTAACTATATTAAATCTTTATAAAATAGTTTATCACAAGACAGATATAAAAATCGTCTCAAATTTAGGAAATTTTTTCATTATTGATTTTGCTTCTCTTCTTATATCAGCTTTTTCTTCAGTATCATTATTTATTTTTCAAAAAATTAATAATACTATCATAATTAATAAATAATGCTCTCACAGATTCCAAATGATAATAACACCTAGTTTGCCTCAAACTTTTAAAACGAAGTAGTTTTTCATTTAATTTGTACTCAAATTCGTTGTTAAAAAGGTCCACCTGCAAGTTGAAGACGAAAAAAAATTATATAATTTGTGCAAGTATGAAAAAAAAAATGTATTGCTTTTTAACATGATTCGGTATCACTGACACCAATTAAATTTAGCGAATGACCTGCAAAAGGAATAAATGGAACAAATTAATTTTTTTGTTTAATATTAGCTTATAACTCTTTATATTTTTCTGCCATATTTGTGGTGTTCTAAAATGACTGCCTACGTCAATTTTCTAACTTTAATTGTTTTAAATTAAAAAATTAATGATGGAACCAAAAATTTATTTTTTTCGTTGTTGAAAAAGTTTTTCACAAATAGGTTTTGATAAATAAAAAGGATTTTCTGTTCCTCTATTAACATATTACCGTATTTTAATATGTGTACTATTAAAAATAGGTAAAATTGAGATATAGGCTTTAAAATTTCTGAATAATTACCATTATTAGGAACACCGAAAACTTCATTATCGCCTCTAAAACCTAAGCTTCTTCGCAAATAAATTTTACAACGACCACTAGATACTCATTTTAATTCAATAGGCGATATCAGTTCTCATATGATTCAATAAACTTCAATATAGATTTATAGATAATAATTTATAGATTCAATGAACACGAAAATTATCATATTGGCAAAGTAACCACGAATTTGCTGAATTTTTATATTCTTTATTGTTTTCATTACTAAATTCATCAGCATGTTTTCAATTATGAAAACTTGAAGACTTCATTTACTATCAAATGGAAATAATTTTCATTGAAAACAAAAAACTGTTCTCACTGATTCCAAATATATTAATCATCGCCTGATTATTATATCACCATTAAACATTTTTTGATCAAATAAAATGTAAGACAAAAAATGATTTTGAGACTTAAATAAACGTAATGATATTTTACTGATATTTTAAAATAAATGTATAACTTTACGGGACGGACGTGTTACTCAAATGAAAAAAGACTGAGTGTTTATAAGTAGAAACATGGTACAATATGCACAACAGAAAAAAAAAGAAAACAAACACGATCAAAAACATGACATATATTTGTGAATGATATACTAATATGGCTATATAGCTATCAAACGATTTCATGTTTATTTTCCATGTAATTAAACCTCATCTGAAACCTTATCTGAAGCTACATATTAAATCGAAACAACACAGTATATTGCGTATTGTAAGGACCATTTAATTCAATAACATGGTTGTCACAGTAAATTATTTCAAATTACCTAATATGAATGTATCTTTAAATAAATATTGTTAAAAACATATTTTTTTTTCAATTGTTTGTCTATCATTGTAAAAAAGCTGTAAGCTTATAATATTTTTTTGGGAATCCTAAACTATAGCCCCACTCCCTTAATCTGAATCTGTATATAAGTACTTACTATATTTCCAAACATTCTCTTAATAATAAAACATTATTGAAGATTTTTTAAATAATCCAATATTAATATCAGATTTAGTTGTTCTAATCCACTTTTTAACTTTTAATTATATCTTTAAAATTGCTTTTCATGTTTTTTTTAATTTCTAGTTGAATACATTTTTAATAATGGATTGATGGGAATATTCTCAAATAAATTGAAAAATATATAATATAATAATAACTCAGTTAAAATAACGTTAATCTTAAAATCCTAGTTCTGATAACTATAATTTGTTTATATTTAAGTTTATAATATACAATCTATTTAAAAAAAAATTTTTTGTATTGTAAAATACAATTTTAATCAAGCCTAAAATATAAATCGTATTTTAAATATTTTAAAAATAAAAATTCCATTTTTACTTATATTTCATTTTTTATTGTTTTTAATAATATTTATATTATTAAAAAAAAAAAAAATAGTGATTTACTTGCAAATAAAATATTCTAAAAATTAATATAATATTTAATCTCAGAAAAAACTAAAGTCATCTGATCAATTGATATAAAAGTCTAGATAAAAAACTCCATCATCATAAAATATTACCAGTGTATAAACAATTTATAATTTGTTACAAACAAATATTTAAGAACCATTACTAAAAAAATTAATAAAAAAAATTAATTACTAAAGAAAATATTACTAAAAATAGATAAATAGATACAAAATAATCGATAGCTTGTTTTCTTTTTTTTTTTTAGCTGATACAGATGAATGGAATGTAAGACGTCCAGTAAAGAACAGCGGAACAGCAGGAAACAGGGTATGTATTTTTACTTCAATGAATCTAATTGATAAATAATATATAATATAAATATACTTGATAACATTGTTTTAATTGATAATGTTTTAATATATTTTTCTTTTTATTACACCTAATCACTTAATTATAAATACATACCTATTTTTAAAACATATTATTGTTAAAAAATGTTGACTATTTTGTAAAAATTTTAATTAAAAAATACATTGAAAATGCATCATAAGTTAACGTAAATTTTATAAAAAAAAAAAGAAAATAAGTAATAAGTATATGTGAAATCGGATATAATACGATTTTAATAAAAAAAATGTTTTATGTGTAAAATTTCCAAAACATAATTAAAAAGATTAACTGACGCTACCAAAAACTACCTAGTAAAAATGTTTCTGAATAAAAATGTCGAAAAGTACCAAACAAATTATTTATTTCAAACAATAATAGGATTTCAAGTATATACTGAATTGAACATATAACTATATTAAATGTACCGATTTCTCTTTGTCTATTCGTGGAATTATGGAAAAAGCCCTATAAAGCTTTTAAACTAACATCCCAGATTTTACATATTACCTGTTCTAAAACCCTTCCAACTACACCTTCTTCATACATAGTCCACAGTTGAATGTTTTACTGTTGTAGAAACTCTCCAACTTACACTAACCTAACCTATCCACCTAAAATCCTAATCAATTTCTCATTGTAATCTGCAATTCTCTTCCCCGTTTCCAATTTTTCTTATATATTTTATTTAAATCATTCCCATCTCCCTTTAAATATAAGAAAAATCTTGCATTTTCTTAGACAGTCTAATTTATACGTATAAATTATACTATATCTGTGAGTAAATAAATAAAATCTTTCTGACAAGGATATTATTGATTTAGTGACCAAAATTCACTTTCACTCAATTTTGTTCCCTATTTAATTTAATGCAATAATTTTATTTCCATCCTATTCTGAAAAATCAATCCAATAATATGTGATCCAATTAAGTGGATAAACCTGATTTCAGACTTTGACACCTATAATACAAACCCTTGGTTATATCTTAGATTAAAAATCTAAACCGGTAAAATCTCTGTCTTATATTTTTGGCTACCATACCGTTCGTATTATTATAATCCCATTATAATTATTATTTAAAAATTGTATCTATGTTCATCTCATAGCACTGAATCAATATTGTTAGAAAAAATAAAAGTCTCTTTTATCATCGCATTTATTAAAATATTTAACCCAGTTACAAAATCAAATTTTACAATATTGTATGTGTTTTTTTTTGGGGGGGGGGGGTTCAAAACACTATTTATGTAACAGTAGGGAATAATTTTTTAATATTTAAAAAAAAAACGTTTAAACTTAATATTACTGCATAGTGGTAGAATGTAAGAAATTTAACCACTCACCTCGACATAAAACTTTCTACTGTAAATTAAAATATACACAAACTTGCTCGCAAACACGAAACAAAACGGAATCAACACGCCAATTCTGCAACTTCTTGGAAACTTATAAAAAGGTCCAGACGTCTAAAGCCATACTGCCTAATTTAATTTAATACATGAAGTCGCTTGACTGAAATTATATTTTCATAAATGAGTACAACATTACTATCGTCTGTTGGTCTACCAACGTTTTGGAAATTATATTAATAATAATAATGTACTTCGGGTTAGTTTTAAGAATACCAAGAAGTAATAATAATATTATTGTTCGTCGAAATGTCATATAATATTTTACTCTTTACGATGTATTATTATAATGTTATGCAGACCCGTATTTAAAAAATTTGGTGCCCCCGGGCATATAATTTATGCTCCCTCCCCAAAAATAAATAATATTAATATTACACTTAATAAAACACTTATTATTTCGGCCATAATCGAAATTCTTTAATATTAAAACATAACTTATAAATGAAAATCGTTTAATACTTTTTTTAATTAACAAATTAAACAAATTATATAATATGTTAACAAATAACATAATAAAAATACAATTTTTTTTAAATTACAAATTATAACACAATACAACATACTAATTTATTTTTTTTTTCATTAGGTACATAATTTTTAAAATTAATTTTGCTAAAATATTTTGCCGCCTCCTAGACATGACGCCCCTGGGCATGTGCTTACCCGTGCCCCTTCCCCTAAATACGGGCCTGATATTGTGTATGGTAGTACTACCACATCCATCCATTGATACGTCATTCATGTGTTTGTTGATCATTATAATTTTATTAATTTAGAAATAATATAATATATTCATAATTAGTTCTACTCTGCATAAAAATCATATTGTCTGTATCACTTGTAAATTTCTTGACATTTTATTCAGTTAAATAATAATAGAAAGTATATTTATTTACCTAATATTATATATTTGTACAACATTCAAATGTTCTATTAACAAAAAACCAGTGTATCGGTGAGATAATAAAAATACTATTTACTATAATTTTTAATATTTTTAATTCCAAAAAATATATTTCACATTTTAATTAAAAAAAAAAAAACTATAATTTGCTTTATAATTTAAAGTATTTTTATTCCAGTCAAATTGACTTTGTATTCTTAAGTTTATAATAATTTTATTGTAATATATAATTTATATATAATAATTAATCATTTTATAATTTGTTTATATTTTTCTAACATAAAACAAATAAAATAATAAAAAAGTTAACTGCACAATAAGTGATTATTGTTAATAATATAATAGTATTACATTTTTATATTTATATAATTTTACTTGAAATTATAGTCTCTTAATTTAATTACAAAAATGTATTTTATACTATTCCAAAATAAATGTCTCAATTATCTACCAAACGTTGATTGTGTATTAAATTATTTTTTAAATTTTATTGTCATTAGTATAAATTTTAATACTTTTAATTAATTAATATTACATTGTAATATTTAGAGTCTGAAATGCCTCTATAATATGACACGATAAATACTAACTTTTCAATTTCCCTTGTGGATTTTTGGTATTTCATTTTTATCTCCCCTGGGAAACGTATGGTACTTTCTTTTATTGCATTGATATCGTTATCAAATAACAGCAGATAAAACTTAACATTTTTTTTTCTATTTTGACCTTAACTTTTCTTCAATGTGACATATCTGCAAAATTACTTGTACAATCAAACCATAAGGGACACTAATAAATTAAAGTAGTTAATTAAGTATGTATAACAATATATTTACTTATAGTAATATAGTATAGTATAATAGTTTTATAGTTTTGATCGGGAAAAATATTTTTGTGAAATTAATTTTTATTCTTATTATTTTTAATATAAAAGTTTAAATAATTAAAATGTGTGCTATTTTTTTTTTTTTATAAAAATCCAATGCTACTTTTCCGAAAATTAAATTTTTTGCACGTGGGGTCTGAGTAGTAGATTTTAAACATAATATTAACAAAAATGATTATTGTTTTTAAATTTTATTTGATACTATATTTCCTTGAAATTGATTCGTTTAAATTAAGGGTATTATTAATATATTTTTGATTTGCATTACAATATGGGATAGCTATAATGCAATATATAAATTATTATTCTAAAACGAAGCAAATAATTTGCACAAGAAATTATTGATTTTTTTTTTTATTATTATCTATTTTTTAATAGATATAAGTAATAATTATTGATGAATTCCAAATTTAATACAATTTAGAATATGATTTTGAAATTACTATTGCAAACGAAAAACTATTCACAACTTGTCAAAATTTAAAAGTTGTGGTTCACTTAAAATGGTTTAACTAAAACAAGATAAATTAAACAACATTATTGAACTATGTGGTGAAGACAAGGACAATGAGTAAAATTAATTAAATTCTTTGACAGTCTTGTTATGATTATTTGCAATATTATTATATAAGAACGTTTTATCAGCTGCGTGTTTGCTTGATTGCCTGTGCATAATAGTGGAAGAAAAACTTCTGAAATTGAATTTTAACATTACTTTTATTGTTTTTTCAGATACTGATCATCCTTACAGCAATGTGGGACAACTGTTGCCGGAGAAGCGGATCCACGTCCGACTTGTCAAGGGAAACGGTGGACGCGTACTCTCCTATAAATCGTAGCGATTCACCACTAGCGCCACAGGTTTGTAACCCTATTCGAAAAGTAAAATTATTTAAAAAAACACGATTTTATACCATTCACCACCATATGTGTCATTTCGTCGCAGCGTAACTAACCATATGTACGAGCAAAATTCCACCACGTTTGTCAAAAAGTGTGCGTGTGACTGATCGATTGCCTCTACACTTTTTTGTGTAAAATAAAAATCCCACTGCAAATAAATGTTAAAAACAAATTAGCAACAACAATACCTCTTGCACAGTAACCAGATAGTTTTAAAACTAAAACATGCTAGCGACTTCAGTAAAAATATATACGAATAGTATCAACAATTTTACTTCATACACATGACGCGAATAATGATAAAGCATAAGTGTTGTGATTATGACGATCTGAAGAAAAAAAACATATACTAATATTTAACAATATGTCGTTTATTCAAATTAAGTTAGCCAGATCATTTGAACGATTAAAATAATTTAAAAATTACTTAACATTTGATTTAAGGGTGATTTTTAACCAGTATAATTACAAACTAATATAATTAGTTTTTAAAAATGACGTTAGTTATTATTTCTCCAAAACGCTGTAAATCACTTAAGCAATTTATTAATAAAAAACAACTAATATGCAACATTTCGTAGTCATACAATGAAAAAAATTAATCAATAGTATAAACTATCTGGCTCTGTTTAAATTCAATAAAATAACAACATATTTTGATAAGTATACATTCTCTAAACCTATTGATGTACAGGCTATTTTGAATTTGACATTTTTTGACGTCTGCCACCAATTAATCAACTTTGAAATAATTATCTTGGAGAATTTTTGAAATTAATGAGATCTAACTAGATTTAAAATAATACTTTCAAACAATACAATGTATTTTGTTTATATTAATATAAATGGTCTTATTCTTGTTAATAATAAAAATGATTTCGATATAATTCTAAACCCAAAAATAAGGCTTTTAATAAACCAAAATGTTTTTCTAATTTTTCAATATGTAATGAATTGTTTAATTTATCGTTGTTTTGATCAAATATGTATTCCAAACACCGAAAATCTGTATTCAGAAAAACCAATTATAGTAATGAGTTTTTAAAAGTCCTTAGCTTAACGCCTTTAATATTATACTAGATTATAGGTATGAAATATTATGTTGTTAAGATGTTCTTTTCCATTTGGCATTATTTTTTTGATATTTGATTGATTTTTTTAATTTGAACTATTATTACTGTTCATACTGTAGATGTTATATTGATATTTGTTTGGTAAATATTCTTGATTAATGATGCAAATTTATTATAATCATTCAGATCTAAAGTTTTGACAGTAAATCTTCACGGTTACATTTTGGTATAAATTAATATAACAGAACTCAAATTAAATGATATTGTATAAACTTTATAAATATAACATAACATTTTAGATCCGTTAATTATTATTCATGTAAAAAATTATAACCAATATATATAAGGTGAAAATTGTTGTTACTAAATAAAAAAGTATATATAAATGTATATGTTTATGTCCAAATTATATTATTTTACAATGTTTATACAAAACAATTATAATAAGCTTCAATGACTTAAATTCAACGTAGAACACATTTATAAGTTACTCACCATGATGATTTAGTTTAATTATCTGAACTGAAACTTAATAATTTTCAACTCCATGTCTGTACTGAAAGTATACAATGAAAGTTTATTATTTTTCAGTATTACATATATACGTTTGTATTTACGTAAATATTATATGGGATACTAAATTAAATTAGAATATACTAGAAATAACTTATAGGAAAAATTGTTTATTTGGTGCATTTTGAAGATCACTTTTTAAATGTTTGATTTTTCAAAAGTCTTCTAATTAATTGAATAAAAATTACCAAAAATAGACCACATTTACAGAATATCGACAAATTTAATTTTTTTTAATGTTTTATTTTTAAAATCAAGCTAATTATTACGATTGTACAATAATTTATTAAAAATAAGGACTAGTAACAATTTTGGTTAACAATTATAATTGGATTGAAATTATATTTAATCTCATACCGTTAAGTATATTTCAATAATATTAATTACAAATATAATATTTAATAATCAGTTTGTTTAAAACCCCAGACTTAAGAGTAGCAGTTTCTAATATAAGACCTAATTTGAAAAATACAAGCATAAGTTTCCTAAATAAACGAGAAAATTGTTAATATTAATTTTCATATTATTTTTTATTTCTTCACGCTCTACAAAATTATTCATGTTCTATTATTAATTAATTGTAAAAGGATCCATTAAAAAAAAAAATTGGAGGTTGCGTTTTGAAAAAAAATAGAAAATGATTACTCTATACGACAATGTGGTAGAATTTTCAAAGGATTTTGACTTTATTTTTTTTTTTATTTATATACATTATATACTTTTATTTATTTATTTTTAAAATTTTCTTGTTTTCTTATTTTATTTTTTTTTAAATAGTGATAAAATACATTTGAAACAACAACAAATCTGGACATTTGAATTCAATATTTCTTATACCTTGTCTTTTGCAAAATGTTTATCATAATATTTTTTATTTTTATCAAATCTGAATTTTAAATGTTGACATCATAAATCAAGAAAATCTGCGATTTTTGTTTTCAAAGTTTACGAAACATTCAGTTTTGGTGGTATACACCAATTTTACATATTAGCATTGTTTTTATTACCTATATATATTTTATTATTGGTGTGCAATATGGTGTTCAGAGACGAATCATTTATTATCATAATTAAAACATTGGTAAAATTATAACTCCTGAGAGCACTGCTTATAAATTACAATATAAAATAATGAAACTAAAAATTATTTCAGATAAATTTCATTCTTCAGCTAAATTTGATGCTTATATTACTATGCTATTTACGAATATTTATAAAACAAAAAATATAACTGATGTTAATTTAAGTAAAAATGGAGATTTCAGCTTAAAAACAAAAATAATATTCTAGGTTAGAGTTTAAAATTTGTACACAAACTTCTCCTTTGATCGACCACGAACGCATAACAAAAGATATGTCGCTCTGACTTGTAGTAATATTTTGTCGCATGAAGCTCAAGCATTTGTTTGTTGACTCACAAACTAATTTATGGATGTAAAAATATCAATAAGGTTTCTTTGTCATTATATAATAATAAATAGTATGTATTTTTACTTTTTTTTTTCTGTGAATTTATATTAATAATAACAACAAAAACAATTTTTAACTAATTTAAATAGTAATATTGATTTTAAATTAGTATTAAGTAGAAGTGTGTACAAATATAGCTGTTTAGTTAATATAAGATGATACATAAAAGTTGAGCGAAATTAAATAATTCTAATTTACATCATAAACCAATAAACACTATATTTTCGTAGATTACATCTTACATTACAATTTTATTATACTCACAAATTAACAATATTTAATCACATTTATCTCGTATTTGACATATAATCAAATAAATATAATAAAAAAACAGATATAAATTAATTTATTTAAATTATTTAAATAGTCTACGTTGTTTTTAATTTTATATCAAATATAATATACTTGAATAATTTGCATTACGCCATTACATTGATAATTACATAATAAGACACTAATAAGAAATAATATTTAAAAATTACAGCATATTAATGTTCATCATACATTATTTACTCTGAGTTAAAACAAAGTATCATGAACATAGGAGTTGGATAGTACTTGAATGGTTGAACGATAAATAGTTTTATTTAAAGTATTTATTCACGTGATCCCGACATTTTAGCTTATTGAAATTGTAAGCATGGAGTCGTAAAATAATATAAATGTTAACAATTTGTTTAGACTCCTGAAAATTTCAACTACTACATGTTTGGATGTTCAAAATATATTCAAGATCTACGATCGAATCCTATGCTTAAAAAGGTATGTCGTCAATATTTATAGAAATATTTAATTTTAATTTCGATCAAAAATAGTTAAAATACAATTGAATATTTAAATAACCACTTAAAATATTACGTGAGTTATTTGTATTTAAATATTATCTTATATTTGTATTTTGAAAATAAAATACTACTAATTAATTACAAATATTTTAATTCTTTGATGACACTCTGAATTGTTTTTATTCTCGGTCTCGAGCATTGCGGATTAAGAAGAAGTATAAATTATCAAGTACAATAATATTACTATCTACCTTTTAACTATAAGTGGATTAAACTCCAAAACTATAATATTACACAAATTTTAGTATAGTTTTCTACCATACGCCTATCGTATAAGCCGCTTACTCGTTCAACAGAAAAATCTATGAGCATTGAAATTCTCATTTCACCATATTTTTATATATTATTTAGTATACAACGATGAAGATATCATACAGTTTCAAATTACCTCTAAATAACAAAGATCAAATTTTATAAATCATCAAGAAACGAATTTTTTTTCTATACAGAATTTTTTCTTCTTCAATAAGTTTTCTTGGAATATTTCTGGTGTAATTATGTATGAATTTGTTGTTAATTGTATTAAATTCGTTCAATTTTATATTCATGTGATTACATTTTTTGAACATTCGTAGATACTGATAGTGACGTCGAAAGATGACTCAGTGTGGCAGTCCGTAACAACAACAGCTAGAAACCTTGATTGGGCTGTGAACCGTGTATCTAGTTCAGAAGAAGCATTAGAGTGCTTTCACAAAGGTAACGAAGTACCAGCAGTAGCGTTCGTAGATTGCAGACATCAAAATGACAAAACCGTGGATGCTCATCAAATAGCAAGGTATGACAAGGTATTTTAAGCATTATAGAATTAGAGATATTAAGGCTGTATTAGAGTATGATACATCAGTACTTGATGAAATTTAGAATTGTAGCGTCAGTAATTTTACATAGATATCCCTGTAGCTCAGTGGCGTATATAGGGGGGGGGGATGATGTCCCCTAGGCCCGGACCCATAGTGAAATTTCAGATTCAATTAAAACATTTTTATGCATATTGCTAAATTATATAAATATATATTTATACCATATGATACCATGGCTCATACCTACTATTATTACTGTTGTTCTATGCTAGTACGTTGTTTTTGAGATACTTATATAAAAGTTACTGATTGATACCATGGTCCATGGTTACAATGACTAATCAAAATATTAATAAACTATGAAAGGACACGACAAATAAAGCTGTGTATTTACATCACGGAATAGATATCTTAGCAACCCTAGTCCGTGGTTTACATAGTACCTTGATAACGCATTATATATTTAGAAATGGATTTCTGTTTACTATTGTATTTACATTGTTGTAAAATGTTATAAATTTATCACGGGTTACTAGGAATTGTTTCATCGATTATCGATATTCGATTGTCTTAGACCGATCGCACACCAAATAAGCAAAACTGCGTTAGACAGTGTTAGTCATTTTCGTGTTAGTCAACTAAAAAAAATTTGTTTTTATAAAGTGTACACTACCTAGACAAAACAAAAATCAGTTGTCATCATGTCATCTGATATTGTTGTTACGATTTGCATGTGGTACACAAAACAAAATTAATAATAGAATTATAAAAAAAAAAAAAAATATGGATTCTTCCGTTAAATAAAAACTTGGTCCTTGTCTCCAAAATCATAAATGGATAGTCTTATTTCCACTAAAATTACTATTATTTCCGCATCACAAGCCATATAAGTGTATAAAAAATATTATTAAAAATATATACGAATTACAAAATACAGAAGAATAATAAAATAATTCTTTCTTGTCTAGTTGTAACAACGAAAAATGTGGACATTCAAATAGTATCAGTCATGACTAATTGTGTTTTAAAGCAAAAACGTTTACTACCTCCTGTAGAAAAATACTTAATTTATTATGTATCTTATTTAATAATAAATATATATTAATACATTTAATTCCTATATTTGTATCATTTATGTCATAATTAAAACCACCCATTCCCTAAAAAATTTCTAGTTTTTGCTATGGTGGGGGTAAATTGGCCCATAGTGAAAATAATTTCTATATACGCCACTGCTGTAGCTCGTAACTATAAACAATATTATCCCAATTTTTTCGCAACATGAAAGTATCTTAAAATCAATATTAATATAGTTTATATCAACTGAAAATATTATTAAAAAATTATTTTTATGCTTTTGATAAACGAAACAAAACATAATTAACGCGTTTATAAAATTTAAATACTAATCTTTCATCACACTAATAAATTGTAATTATTTTAAAAATGTAAAATAAAGTTAACCATATCTTATTTATGTACTTACATATAAGAATTGTGTCCTATCAATTTTCTTTATCAACTACCTAACCAAATACTAAGTTGTGATTTTGTAATATTCTATCCAAACTCTATTTTATTAAAATACATTACCTCCACTTTTTTATATTACAAAGAAAAACAGTATTAAATACAATTTGTATATTGATGTTTGCATAGGTATTTAATTTTCTAATAAGATTTTATTAATGTATTCTTCCATACATTTTCATCTGATAACAGTCATAATGACTTATTATTCAAACTACAATGTAATATATATATATATATTTGTTTGTTCCAAAAAATAGACATCAAACAATATTAATTTTTTTTCTGTATATGTAAATTATAAATTTGAATTTTATGAAATTAAGAAATTGAACCACAAATTATTTATTAAAAATAACTTATTTAAAAAAAAAATAGTAAATTAATTCACGTAAGCCGTAAAATTATTTGCTATAATACATTAAAGTATTTCAACTGTGTAAAAATATAATTTGTTATTGAATGTGTATTATATTTTAAAATAAGAACACTAAAATTTTAAAAGCATCATGTACATAAATATATTTAATAATGATAATAATAATACAAATAAATATACATGTTAATAATATTTAATTATAATGATTAATTGTTAGTTTTATATTCTTAAAAACATATTTAGTCTTATTAATTTACAATTCCTTATTAAGTTCAAGGTATACTTTATACATTTGGTGATATATTATATAAAATGTATCATATTCTTCTATTAGGGTAAAACGTTTCTGGTTTAAACTAATTGTTAAAAATAACTGTATTTAAGGAACTCGTGTAGTCCTATATGTATTATATGTAAGTTACAGATATAAACCATATACTTGAATTAATTGAAAAATGAAATTAATTTCATCATCATTGTAACAACGAACAAATTATAACACTAAAAGTTTAATTATTAAGTTTAATCGGGATAAAAGAATAAACAACAGAAAATACATGTATAGATTGTATGCTCGTACGTAGGATGTATTACTTTCAAGATTATTTTACTGTTAATTATTTTTCGCATTAAATGGGCTTCTTACTTTTATATTTATTTGCGTGTACCTATTGTTTACTGTTCCTTTAAAATTTCTTAATAATTATGACGTAGTAATTTAATATCGTATTAATCAATATTTATTTACGTTTTAATAAAATACTCATAAAATAAATATAAAAGACGTTTTCGTCGTTTACAAGAAATATAATTTTTCTTCTAAAATATAAATGATAAATAATAATAGTATTGAACTTAATTTATTTTTAATTTGTCATATATTTATCTTTTATAATATACAAATCATAGGCGCAACTAGGAGGGGGCTAGGGGGACTTAGTCTCACCGGTCAAAGATTTAGCACCCCCCTATAAATATTCCATGGCATACCGCATATAGCATACTTAACTCACAATATTGTCACATACAAAAAAAACATACATTGCAGTAAATCCAACTTGGCTCAGAATCTAAAATATATTAACATGGTATATAAGAGGAGTATTCTACATGGTATTTTAAGCATTGATAGAAGGCCTGTGCCTCCCCATATTTTTTACCCTGTTTGCGCCTATAATATAAATGAATAAAATATTCAGTAGTAAACAAATAAAGAAGGTTTTGGTGTGTTTCTTTATTAATAAACATTATTATTTAATAATAATTATTAAATATATAATATTATAATTATTAATAGTTATTTAGTAAAAAAAAAATACTCGATGTCTATTATATTATGATTATTTACATAAAAACATGTTGCTTTTATTACAATAGAAAAAAATGTATTGATGTATGCAAACATTTCAAAAATATTTCAAACATTTCATTTGAATAAAGGAGTTGAATAACAATTAAACGCGAACGCCAAAATTATTGTTTATTGCTTTCACTCATTCATAGTTGTTGTTTCAAATAATGTTGATAAACACTAATATACTTCATTTGAATTTTAAATAAACTTGAACGTATGTATATCATCCTAGTGAAGAAAGTTTTTTGCATGAATCAAATTTTCTATATTAATTATATCCATTTTAGATTTATTTTCTGTTAAATAATCGGTGAAAGAAATTGTAATGGAAGTTTCTTATTTGATTTACTTAAAAGTTATCACTTGCTTTTTAGTTTTTATATTTTTACACATTGAATATTTTAAATATTTTTAGTTTTCTTAATTTCTCATAAAGTACCTACTTCTAATATTTGGGTATTCGAAATCAATTTAAAAACTATTAAAAGATTGAATCACAGCGTATGTAATTTACTTATTTCATGAGTTACAACAATTTATTTCGAGATAAAATGTATAATTAAAGTAAAAAGTAAAAATTATAAGTTTGGCTACTTGCCATTTTTATACAAGGTCAATTTTAAAAAAAATTAACTACATTAAAAATATCTCAGAAATCATTAACAAACAATTTGTTTGTGAAAGTTTAAACATTAAGTTATAGTTATTTTATTGAAATTGAAAACCTTGCTAATAGATATATGATTTTTCGTTTCAGTTGGACTTGACACTGGTACGATTTTCTAATTTAAAGAAACATAACATACAAATATTATCGAAAAATCTTAACAAAATCTATTTTGAAAATTCTAAGTGAATAAATATTTTTGTAACGAACTAATTATTGTTTTCGATAACTAATACGGTTTGAAATTTAAAGGCATCTCATTCTAATTCTTGTTTCACTCAACTCGTAATATGTTCAATATACTTATTTAATTTATGGTACTCGTAACAATTTAGATTTTCAAGAATACAATTAATAGTGTTTATATAATATTAATAATTGTTTTGGTTTAATCTAAATCGACTAATTTAAATTGTTCATTTAATATTCAAAAATAACTGAAACCCTTCACTTTTGTACAAAATCCAAGGAAAGCATTTTCATAAATTATTACAATTACTTTCCATTACCACAATATTTAGATAAATTAAAATAATGACTAGGCTCTTCAAAAAGGTTTATAAATTGCGTAACGTAAAATTCTTCCGACTACAAAAAATCATACTTTTTATTAAATTAAAATTAATTATATATTTATTTGTTTTCTTAGGTTCTACGTTTCATTTATTGGTATTTGTTTTATACATATTTTTTTTTACTCGATATTTTTGAAATTATAATTTATGTTTTTAAGTATTTAAACATATTTGACATACGTTTAATGTTGTACGAATATACGTCAAATACTTTAGTGTACTATTAACTGTACATCAGATTATTTTTACAAATAATTATTCGCTAGAACTAAATACATACATATTATAAAAAATAAATAATTATGCGGTAATTTTTAAATGTAAAAATAATTGTCAATAATACAATTAATACAGTAATTTAAAACATGGTACTCCACGAATAGAAAATAAATATATCTGCTTATAGAACTTTACCTCGCGTGTTTTTACTCCAAATTGTTTGAAAAGTAATAAATTAAATATTTATAAAA